GGGAGTCACTGTGTTAGCTGTTTCATCCTTGTCTCACTAAATCCCCTCTGTGACTTATTATCGTGGCTTGTGTGTGTCAGAAATTGGTGTCACCCTTCACAAAGAGCATCCCAAAGGATGAGACAGACTCCCAGCCAGTGTCTGGTGGCTTCTGTCACACCCTTTATTCTTCCTGGCAATTCCAAGTTTAAGTGACACCACTGTTTCTAAGAAGCTTGTCAAAACCCAGAAGGAAAATATTGTTGATTTTAGCTCAGTGCGCGCACACGTGTGTTTGCGTGCGTGTGTGTGTGTGTGTGTGTGTGTGTGTGTGTGTGCGCGTGTCTGTCTGTCTTCTATTTGTATGCCTTTGATAACACTGCTGCCTCTGGTTACTGTACCATAAGAACATGGTTCTATTGGACTGTTGTTTTGTAACCATCTATCTTATAAACTCAGTAAACATACTTTAATTACCAAATTCCAACAAGTTGACAGGTCACTTAAGACAAACTACAGGCACAGATTTTAATTTTTATTCATGGTGGTTTTTTAAGTTTTCCTTCAGGTCTTCTGGGGAGTTGAGGGAGTTTTTTGTTTGCTTGTTTTTGATTTCCGGGTTTTGGAACTTTCTCTTTTGTCATTGTTTTATGTTGTCATTGTCTTTCCATTAGAAACATCAAATCTCCATATGTAAACTTACTTTTTCCCTGCACTCTACCAGTATCTTAAGAGCATTATATACTTTTCAATCTTCTGTATGCCTTTTTAAAGTTCTGCTTTGCCTTACATAGCAATTTCTAGTAATTTCTTTTTCCATTTAAGCCAGTTCCTAAAAAAAGTGAGCCCTCCACTTCTGTTGCATGAATGTCTTTCAGATGGGACCCGCAAGGTTTCATTCCAACCTTAATCATGACCTCTCAACTAAGGTGAGGTCTCCTGATTCACTCTCCTCCCCTTTGTCTTTTCCTTTTATTGTTTATCAGCTCAGAGATTCTTTAAAAATGCAGATCTGAACTGTCACTCCATGGTTCCCTGTTGCTTCTCGTTGGCACTGTCCTCCTGCATCTGTGATCTCCTACTACTCATATAAAGCTACTTGTGGCCCTAAGAGGCCAGGCCTTGTCTCTCCTTTCTTCTGCCTTGAGCTTCCTTTTGTCTAGTGAGCATGCTTCACCTTTAACCCATGGCTGAGAACTCACCCTCTCAGTGCCCAGGCAGACATTCTCACACATTGGTAAATATCAGGAGTTTCAATAAATGAAGAGGTGATGCTGTTTCTTTAAGAGTATATCAGGGCAAGTAAAAGGCTGACGGGACCATAAAAAGTAGTCCTGGGGGCTGGGGAGATGATAGCTCAGTGGGTAAGAACACTGGGGCTTCTTACAGAAGCCTTTACCTGCTGAGCCATCTCATTGGCCTGTAATTTTTTAAAGCAATTTATCAGTTTTCAGCTTCTTGTAATGATGGTCTGGGTCACTCAGCTGACTCTTCTGTTCACATTTGATTGTCTAGAACAAGTGCACAACAGAGCCCGAAGCCCACGACACAGAGCCATATCTTCCCCAAAGGAAGGACAGCCAGTGTTTTGAACAATAACAAAATGCAATCATTGCAAGCTACTAGGGTCCCTAAGACCTTGGGGAAATAAACGTTGTTTCTGGAGACTGATAAGCTTGCTGGATGAACTCTGCAATGTCCTAACAAGGAAGAGCCAGCAAGATGGCTCAGCAGTGAGGAGTGCTTACCACTGACCCTGACAACCTGCATTAGGTGCCTGGAACCCACATAGTGGAGGGAGAGAACTGACTCCCAAAGCTTGTCCTCTGCCTTCCACATGTTCACACAACACATGTGCTCCTACACACATACACAGAAAATAAAAATATGAACGTAATTAAATTAAAAATAAAAACATTCTAAAAATGTCTTCAGTTTTTTTTTTTAATGTGTTCCAAAGATGATTAGGTTCATGAGGTAATGTAATTGGAAAAAAAACATGACTGATAGCCAAAAGTAATAATACACACTAGATGCGGACTTACAGAAGCTACAGACAGTGGAATTATCAAAAACATACTGCAAAAGAACTGCCTGTGGAATTCAAGGTGTTGATACAAACTTAGATTTCAACAGACAACAATAAGCAGCAAAATAAAAGATTTGCAGATAACCACATAGGAATTTGGGAACTAAGAAGGACAAATAACCAAAGTTAAGAAACGGATGGATGGTTTCAACATCAGATTAGATACAGCTAGAGTGAACTGCCAAAGCTGTGCACAAATGGGGTTGGGGGGCGCTCATCAAAGTGCTGCTTAGAAAAACAAAAAGATTAAAAATTCAGAAGAGAAGAATCAGAGGCATAAAGAACATGGTATACCCAGTGTTTAGTAATTGAGCTCTCAGAAAGAAAAACAGACTCAGCAGTCAGAAAGATAAGAAGCCGGGCATAGTGGCACACACCTTTAGTCCCAGCACTCGGGAGGCAGAGGCAGGTGGATCTCTGGGAGTTCGAAGCCAGCCTGATCTACATAGTGAGTTCTAGGCCAGCCAGGGCTACATCGTAAGACTCTGACTCAAAAAATGAATAAATTAATTTAAATATATAAGGAGAAAAGCTAAGATTTTAAAATAAAACATCACTCAGATTCAAAAACTCTGAAAACAAATCCCAGGCAGAATTTAGTCTTTAAATTCCATGCTTACTTGCTACCAAGTCTGGCAACCTGAGTTTGATCCCCAGGATTCATATGGTGGAAGGAGCGAACTGACCCTCTGAACTCCACCCTCTCACTCTAGCACAAATGCACAAACACAATAAAAAAAATAATTTTTTTAGCCGGGTGTGGTGGTGCACGCCTTTAATCCCAGCACTTGGGAGGCAGAGGCAGGTGGATCTCTGTGAGTTCAAGGCCAGCCTGGTCTACATAGTGAGTTCCAGGACAGCTGGGGCTACAGGGAGACCCTGTCTCAAAAA